TGCTCATTTTTCGGGAATTCCTCCTGCCACTCAAATATATTCACGGAAAAAATTGCAAGAAACCAGGCAGGATTTATTCTCAGTGATCTTATCATTTATCTCAGAAGAAAGGTTGAGGAAAAAATATCAAATTTTTTTTGAGACAGCAGGTCTTTCTTAAATCTTTCGTTTGGTGTAGGGTTGCATTTTTATTTTAATTAAAATGTTAAAATTGAATAATTTTGATAATCAACAATGGTTTGTTTGTTAACATTAAAGGGAAAAGAAAAGAAGTGCTAAATCAGAAAAAGAAGAAATTATTAAGAATAAAAACGTAGCGGTAGTTCAGTGGAGAAGTTTGACAGGAAGACAAAAGTAAATACATGGAGAGAAATAGTTAGTAAAAATTACGGAACTTTCAGTTCACTTACCGATTACGGAGTTGATTCGAAAAATTCAAGTGGGGGTATCGTTATTGTTCACCGATAATTCAGATAAAAATTACGGAACACCGCGGAAAAATTCCGTGACTTTAGATAAAAATTACGTGACAGTTCCGTAAAATTTTCGACAACCACATTTCGCTCCAGAATTACGGAAAATACACGTAATTTTTATTGAATATTTCTCTCAGTGTACATTATCGAAAGCAATTAATCGTAGATCCGTTAAAATATTGTAGATTTGAAAAATGTTCAGATATATTTTAACACTAATGAAATGCTATATGAGGAATACTATTTTAATATTTTTGTTTAAATTTTTCGGTTTTTGCAAAAGTGAGGAAGCAACCTGTAAGGTCCGGATGGACTATCTATCGAACATCATCTTTTGTTATTATGATAAAACCTCAAAACGGCGATATTACAAAATCCTATCAAAACAAATGTACATATTTCGATTGATGTAGATAGAGCCCATTGAGACGAGTATTTTGAGAAAAAATGAAATTCTTGCAGTATTTTTCGAGTTATTCGGGAAAAACGACATTTACAAAAGTTGATATATCTCAGGAACTACTGGATCGATCGAGCTGAAACGACGCATCAAAGTAAAGGTTAATGATATCTATCATAAAAATTCAGATCTTTAGCTACAAATTTTACTGTATTTTCGTCAAATTTTATCAAAATTAATCTTCAACGTTTCGAATTTACGAAATTGGCGCATGCACACAAACATGAACTAAATACATCGAGCTTTCGCGTTTCATAACATTCCAGTTAATTTCCAATTGAAATTAGGAAATCGAAAAATCGGTCGAATACTAGGCTTCCATTCAGAAGCAAAAGGTCAAAAAAATATTGAAGGACACTAAAGAGCAATATTGTTTTAAAGGAATCTATCAGCTTTACTAAAAAAAAATAAAAAATACATAGCCTACTATGAAATCTAGATGTCATTTTTATTATTTTTTAGTAAGCTTGGCCGATCCCTTATAAATAATATCGCTCTTTAACGCTCTTTAATAATTTTTCCTCTTTTTTTCATTTTTTTTAATAACCATTCGAGTGATTCATTCGTAGATCACTAGGTCAATTAACTACTAATTATAACTATGGCTAGATATAAGTACTAGTGAACTAACCTTCAGGAATGATCTCTGCACGTATTTCAAACATAAAATATGGAAATTTGTAGTTGTTTTTTGTCAAATGTATTGCAGGTAAAACATTGAAACTTGTTTGCCCTCAATTTGAACCGAATTGAGAGTAAAATCATCTCAAATTTTTTCAGAGTAGTAGAAAAATCTGTACACATCAAAATTAATTGAAAAA